GGCAGGGCTCTGGGCCGGGAGGCGGGGGCAGAGGCAGGGCTCTGGGCCGGGAGGCGGGGGCAGAGGCAGGGCTGTGGGTCGGGGGGTGGGGGCAGCAGCAGGGCTGTGGGCCGGGAGGGCGAGGTTCTGGTTCTGGTGCGGCTGCGTGGGCCAAAGCAGGAAGTGGGACACTGTTGAGAGCCAGCCCAGTCCTTGCTGCAGCTGCAGAGGGTTACTATGGGGCCCCTCTTCATTTCACGCTAACAGCAGAGGGGTCAGTCTCGTTCCTGGGATCACTCCGTGGCCGCCAGCTGTGCTCCTGTGCGAACGCACTGGCTCGTTCCTCTCCTTGGGGACCCCGAGCCGCGCAGCCCTCTAGGCCCTGCTTCGCGTTGGGCCACTGCCATGCTGGGCTCCGCCCCGGCTCCCTCGGCGTCCCATGACAGCCACATCCCACTGGGACCAGGAAGCTATTGACCAAGAGGGCGTGCGGGAGGCAGAACCTCATGGGGGTCATACCTGGCCTGTGGAACTCACTGCCACAGGAGAGAAGAGACTCCAGCCCTACCGCATCCAGCGCTCAATGCAGAGCTCCACTCTGAGACACCACTCCCCTCAGTAAGGTCTGTGTGCACACACAGCCACACACACCTGCGCACACCCACAGACCCCCAAATGAGTAAAAGCAAAGCCACCCAGAAGCTCCCCCCGCGGTGTTGCCTGCAGGCTGGGAGGAAGCGGTGGATTGTGCATGCGTGTGCATGCGTGTGCATGCCAGGTGTGATCACCCCGCCATGGATCTACATGCTCCTTGTACCGGGCGCGTGGGGGCCAGGCAGCAGCTGGATGCAGCCCCCAGCTGGCGTTGAGCAGGGGCCCAGGGCTCTGGCGGCCTCTCCCCGTTGGCAGCAGGCCCCTCAGGGAAATGCTGGGCACTGCAGAGGGACGGAGGATGAAGTCCAGAAGCCCCTGCCGTGCTCCCTGGGGATGCAGTGCTCTGGGACGCACCTGGCGCTCCTGGTGGGAGCCAGGAGGACGTTGCACTGGTGGGTCAGCAGCCCCTCACGCTGCTGGGACGGGGCTGGTCTCTGCACGGCCCCTGCCCTGACCCACAGCCCTTCCCCACAGAGCTGGTGCGGGAGACCACGGCCGGCCACCTGGCCCTGCTGGTCACCAAGAATGTTGCCATGTTCCCGGGCAACCAAGAGCGGTTCTCCGAGGGCCACATTGACGTCTGGTGGATCGTCCATGACGGGGGGATGCTGATGCTGCTGCCTTTCCTGCTGCGGCACCATAAGGTACTGTGGAAGGGGGGGTTGGGCTGGGATCAGGGGCACGGGCTGGGACCGGAGGGGGGGGCTGGGCTGGAATCGGGGGAGTGTCCCCCTTTTTATATGCCAGCAAGGCTGGGCTCAGGGGGAGGATTTTCCCTCCTTTGACATGACAGCCAGGCTTTGATTGGGGGGGCTGAGATCAGGGTGGGGAGCTGGGCTGGGATCAGGGGGGTGTCCCCCCCCCCTTTGGCATGTCAGCCAGGCTGGGATCGGGCGGGCTGGGCTGGGATCGGGGGGCTGGGTGCCCCATCATGATTCACAGGATCTGTGCTACTCTGTGGCCTGTCGACTGTCTGAGATCGATAGGGTGGGGAGATCAGGGTGGGGAGCCGGGCTGGTGTGTCCCCCTTTGGCATGTCAGCCAGGCTGGGATCGGGGGGCTGGGTGCCCCATCATGATTCACAGGATCTGTGCTACTCTGCGGCCTGTCAACCGTCTCCTGGCAGCACCCAACGGGGTCACACTGTTCCACAAGGGTTGGCCATGTGGCTTCAACGCCTCCGGCTCCAGCCCTCCGGTTTGACGCCGTAAGCTCTGCCAGGGAGCCCCATGGTGCAGAGCCCTGGTCAGAGACTTTCACCCCCTCGGGGATCCAGGACTCAGCCCGAGGCGGCTGGGTTATCCCCGGCCACGGTGCTGGGAAGTCCCGTGTGCGGCACAGAGAAGCAAAGGGCCAATGAAAGTTGTGACCTCCCCCGCCCGGTCTCTGTCAGGCCCAGGCGGGAGCTGCGGGGTCTTTGCGTGCCCAGTTCCAGCACAGCCTCCAGTGTCCTGCCGCAGCCCATGCTGAACGCTGCCCCTGACCCTCGGGTGCTCAGTCCTTGGCGGTGCCCTCGGGTGCTCAGTCCTTTCTGCTTCCCCCGGCCTGGCACAGTGCGGATGCTCCTTTCGTGGCACAGGATCAGCGAGAACATTTGCAGTCCCATTAACAGAACCCTGGCAGGGCAGACTTAGCCCTTTCCAGCAGCTGCAGCCATGCCAGAGGCGAGGGCTCAGGTAAAGCCCCGTCCCCATAGACACAGATGGAGCCAGGAGCCCACCCAGCGGCCAGGCCTGCTCTCAGTTGTGGCCCGTTCCAGTCCCTGGGGAGGGGTGTCTTGGTCAGGTATCAGTCGGGTGTGTCTCCCCCTTGGCATTGGCTTGCAGCAGCACCGGGCGCAGCCCTGCGGCACCGGACCCCAGGAAGGGTTTGTCTGGTACCGAGTTCACACAAACTGGGTCCTGGCTTAGGGCCCCTTCCCGTGCAGACAGCCCATGCTGTCCGGCTGACCCTTCCTGGTCGCTGCGACGCTGGGAGCGGTGAGCAGCTGGGAGTATAAATTTCCGGTAGTACCACTTGGCCAGTTCTGGCCATATACAGCCGCTCCCCACCCTGTGACCCAGGTACAACACCTTGGCCACCCCCTCTTTACACTCTCCGGCCTTTATAGTTGTCACGGACTCACAGATCGTGCCCACTCTTGGCCCCGTGCGGTCCGTGGGGGTGCCCCTTTCAGTGCGACAGCCCTTCTCGGGGGTCCACTCTCTCTCAGGGTCAGGCCCCTCTACCTCCTGGAGCCGCACCTCTCTGAGCCTTAGCACGTCTGTCTCTGCCGTGGGCCCCCTCAGGGAGTCCCCTCGCTCTGGACCCCCGGGGCCTCCACCCCCCAAAGGGGTTGATGCCCCCCTGTTCTCTAGACTGGCGCGACTCTCAGCCAGCGTAACACAGGAGGGTTTATTGAGTATTTGAACCCAGCACAGGAAAAACTCTGACCCTCAGGCCTGGCCTCCCTCAGCACAGCACATTCCCCATCGTCTTCCCTGCATCCCAGTTGGCCCCCTGCCTGCTTCTTCTCTCCAGCCCCGAGCCCCCCTGCTTCCCGGCTGGGCATTAGAGATCACCGGCCCCATGCCCCACCTCTGTCCATTGTCTTCTTTCTAGGTAAACAGGGTCACCTGGGCCTCCCCTCCTCTCCACCCTCCGCCCCTCCTCTGGCTGGAACTGGCTGGTTAGGTCATGGGGTCCTCTCGTTGCAGCCCATTGTCCTTCCACTGGCCAGAGCTGGGCCTCTGGGTCACCAGGTCGCCAGTCACCCGTCGCTGGGGTATCCATTCTCCCCACCAGTGGCTGGGGTCCCAAGTTCCCTTGCTGGTCTTGTGTGCCAACAAACTCCCTCTCCCATCACCTCATTAAACCTGTAACACCCAGGGAAACTGAATCCCACTCCCTCTGTGTGCCAACCATAGGAAAACCAAGTGAATCCCCCATAGGAAACAAGAAAAACAAGAAACTCCCCCATGTCGTCACAGTGGGCCAGCCAGGCTTGGATTGGGGACCGTTTCCCCCCTGTGGTGAGCCAACCGGGCTGAGATTGGGGGCCAGTTCCCCCTGTTTGCTGGACCGGCCAGGCTGGAATTGGAAGGGTTCCATGCAGGGCAGGCTGCCAGCGCTCCGTCTCCCCTGGCAGGTTTGGCGTAAATGTAAGATGCGCATCTTCACGGTGGCGCAGATGGACGATAACAGCATCCAGATGAAGAAGGACCTGACGACATTCCTGTACCACCTGCGCATCACAGCCGAGGTGGAGGTGGTGGAGATGGTGAGAGCCCTCGCACGGCCCAGCCCCTCCCTAGCCTGGCTCCCTGGCCTTGTGGCTGGCCGCTGGCTTGGACCTTGTGCGTAGTCACTGCCCTGAGAGGTGGGTGCGGAGCTGCCCAGGCCCAGCGCTGGGGTCCCTGAGGGGCTGCAGGGGAAGGGCCAGCCAGGTGTTTCCTGGGTAACGGGGGGCACTTGCCCATGTCCCTGGTGGTTCTGAGGCCCAGGGCTGCCGAGCTCCCTCCCTGGGTGATGGCGCGTCCTGTCCCTGCAGCATGAGAGCGACATCTCAGCCTACACCTACGAGAAGACCCTGGTGATGGAGCAGCGCTCGGAGATCCTCAAGCAGATGCACCTCACCAAGACCGAGCGGGAGCGAGAGGTAACTGGGCTCCCTGGGCGTTGTCTCTGCCCTGGGCTGGTTCCTGCCCCAGAACGCTGGGGCCTGCGCCCCACGGGGCAGCAGCTTTGCCGAGCCAGCTGGGCCCTTTGAGCCATGGGGGGCTGCTAGTAACCATGGTGCAGGCTCCGCAGCTGGGGCTGGGCCTGAGACCCTTGAGCAGTGACCCCCCCGGCCAGCCCTGAGCTCCCCAGCAGTGACCCTCTCCCCCCCCCAGCCAGCCCTGAGCTCCCCCCAGCAGTGACCCCCCCCGGCCAGCCCTGAGCTCCCCCAGCAGTGACCCCCCCGGCCAGCC